TTGTGACAGATTTGAACGAAATCCACAAGCTATTCGAGAATATGGTCGCCCAGCACCCGTTGCATGCTTTGACGGAACCAGTAAACGATGATTCTGTTGGTGGGTATTGTTGACTTGATTCTCGCCTTTAATTTTTATGCATAAGCTGTATACTACCGCGGAGCGCGAATAGTTATATATTTAAAAACCACACAGTGATCTCGCTCCACACTTCAATGGATTCAATAGACCACGCGTAAACTCATTGGCAGATATATCGCTTCAGGTTCGCCTTCAATTACGCCGCATAGGCAACAATCGTACCGAAGAGCGCGTATAGCTATCTATCCGATGTACTTAGGTACACACAACTATTACGCTTAGCAAGACAACAGTGCGTACAGGAAAAATAATGATAAATCTGAGAAATTTTGGAAGAAAAAGATTAAAAACTTCACTCCAGGACCAAGGATAAAACAAGTTAATGTCAGTCAAGGTGCAAAAAAGTGCACCAAGAAAATGAATGAACTGATCAGCCTACTATCAACGCACTTGGACAAACTGAGAAATTATGTTAAAATACCTATTTTAGTATGTGGGTCTGTGAACTGTTACAGCTGTGAACTCATTTTACGTCTTCATTTGCTCTTGATGACATGGAGGAAGTAAATTTTGTTGATTTAATTTGATGAAGGATAGGACTAATGAGGGGCTTGGAGAGCGAGGCGCATAAGTGCAATTTTGGAAAAAATTGAGGTATGAATGATTTTAACCTAAACTAGTCTTGAAATATACTCTGTGAGAAATTCTCCTCCAATATCTAATTTTTTATGCACCGAAAAGCAAGTTTGATCATTCTTTCCGCCATAAGGCACCCCTGTAATTTTAAAACTTAAACCACGTATTTCTTGAAACAGTCAAAACTGCACTTATGCGCCTGTCCTCAATGGCCCTTTAATGTTGAACGAAGATGTATGTAAGTATGGACAAAAAAGGAGTTTTCAGTATACTGTTTACGTTTTGCGTTTCTTTTAGGAACTTTTCAAGGGCTCACCCATTGCTCCTTACACTTTTTGAACATCTTGGCCATCAAACGAAGACCTAGTAGAGGTATAGGTTGATTCTGTTTAAAAGTCTTTGATGAGGCCATCAAAATGATAAAAATGTCGATTGATTATCATAATAAAACCATATGAATAATAGGTCCGCAAAACAAAAATGATAGGAAATGTACAAGTGTGTACATAATGTAGGTAAGTGGTGATAAACCGCGTGTCTCCGAGGTAAAGGAGAAAGAAATCCAAAGCGAACTAATAAAGCAAATTAACCTTCTGATAAAAATGAGTAAGTAAGCATACGTATGTACAAAAAATTGGGAATCAATAAAGTCTTGAGATAGAAGCGAATCAGAGTTGATAACAACTATCTAATAAGCTATGCTTTCCGTGCGTGAGGATCACTATATATATTCTTTCAACTAATTGTAAGATTCACCTTGATTAATTCAACTTCAAAAGTATAAATCTTGCTGGGAGATGATAATTTTGAGTTGTACGCTACTTTCTGAAAAAAGTTGGAATTTGAGTTTTCCTTTAAAAAAGGCCAGGGCAGGACTGATGGAAAAAAGCCCGGACGGCGTATAAACTTCTGGAAGGCCTGGGATCCACTCCGATGGGGGTGGGGGTATGGTATAGCCTCTCGAAAATGACGAACTTTTCTCCTCGTCATTTAAAATTGGACGTATTTCTGTTAAACGGAACTAAGCGCCAGTTTAAGTTCCTATTGAGGAACTTAAACTACGGCCTGAACGGTCGAAACTGCAGAAGCGGCACAGGAAAACCGAAAAACAACGCGGGAACGCTACTTCAATATAAAACTTCCGTCGCCTTGCTGAGGCGCAGGGATACAACTATTTGAACTCTCCGGAACGCGTGAGGTATCACGCCTCAATTGAAGGCGTTTTCGAATCTTCTGTATTTTCATGACGAGATTTTCCAAATTTTTTTGCATTTTACTGTAGATTTGAGTTCCGTTTATTATTTAGTTAAATTATTCCTGCTTCTTAATTTTTAATTATTCTGAAAAAATTATCAAATTATTCTGAAAAATTATCAACAATTATCTTTTTGCGAAATACAATCCTGGCTTTAGCGCCCTTAAACTCCGGCCTTAACGGTTGAAACTACAGTAGCGGCACAGGAAACCCGAAAACAACGCGAGGACGCTACTTCAATATGAAACTTCCATCGCCTTGCTAAGGCGCAGGGATACAACTATTTGAACTCTCCGGAACGCGTGAGGTATCACGCCTCAATTGAAGGCGTTTTCGAATCTTCTGTATTTTCATGACGAGATTTTCCAAATTTTTTTGCATTTTACTGTAGATTTGAGTTCCGTTTATTATTTAGTTAAATTATTCCTGCTTCTTAATTTTTAATTATTCTGAAAAAATTATCGGTTTGCGAAACACAATCCTGGCTTTAACGCCCTTAAACTACGGCCTTAACGGTCAAAACTGCAGTAGCGGCACACAGGGGCGGACTGGTAGTCAAAAAGTTAGGAGGAGACCTAAATGTAAGGGCCCCTCCTGTCGTTCGGGGGCCCCTCTAAGGAGGTCCGGGGGCCCTCCCCCGGTAAATTTTGAAAATTTCACACTTTTTAAACATGCATGCATTATTGGAGTTGGATTCTACAGTACTTGAACTTCAAAATAACCCATTCTCAGGGTTTATCGGGGGTCCCTTCATCACAAATGCTTTTGGCGACCTTCCATGTCTTTTAGAGACAAATCAAGGAATTCGGGGCATTTTAGTTATTAAAAAGGATAAGAAAATAACAACATTACGGGGAAAAAACGATGACTCGAAAAAAATTCGCCGCGGGGGCGCCTTCGGGACGTCCGCGGCAAATTGTTAGGGGGCGATCGCCTCCCCGCCCCCATGGCCAGTCAGCCCCTGGTGAGCGGTGATTTTACCTCGTATTTTTTTTATAACTCTTGCGAGATATTTGGCTGCTTTTCATTTGGAAATCGCTGTTCAGCGAAAGTTAGAATCCAAAATTGCTTCATTTGTGTACAGAGGAATTCGAATGATTAAAAAAAAATACATTAATACAATGACAATGAATAAATTTAAACAGATAATGAAAATTGATTGAGGGAAAGGAGGTTCTTCTGTGAAAACAGACCCCTAATTTTACTTCCGGTTATAAAAAATTTGAATTCATTTCGAAAAATTTGATAATTTTCTCCAAAATGAATCCAATTTTTTGGCATTATAATCGTAGGATGTCTTCTCATTGGAAACTAACGCAATACAATTTTAATGCAGAGGGCTTCAAAGTTGAAAATTTCAAAACGAGAATCGGCGGATCCCACCACTAAATATATAGTATGCCTCTTGAACGTACTATACAAAGAATGACAGAAAAGGCACTTAACAGAGGGTATGAAACATTTCGTTTGATTTCAAACATCTTTAAATAGCATTAAAAAATTGCATAGGTTACATAAGAGATGATGAAAAATTAACTTCTTTCTTGGGTTTTAATCAGGTGTAAGCGGAAAATCCTTCCAGAAAAAACTGATCTACATGATAACCCAATTATCAGTCTTTATTCACATTTCTCAAGTAATCTCACACAGCCTGACGACAGTGGTGACGTACAGTGAAAAAAGAGCACCACTTCAATATCATGTCTTCTACCTATGGGGCTTATTCACAGGGCACAAATAAAACTGTTCTTAGACTTGATGCTTTATTTTACTCAAGTGATTGAAAACTAGCCATAAATAAATACAGCAGGAGAGGCTTGAGAGGGAAATCATTTATTTCTGGAATTTGCCGTTCAAGTATGTCTTTTTCAAACCACTCAACTTAAGATTGGTCTCGGTGTTGTCAACTTTTTTGAACATGGTAGAATAAGCATGTGTACAAGGATCTTTTAGATTGCATCATCAGCAAGCAATGACCTTTTTTGGAAAATATGAGGATACAGGATCTTTAAGAAAGAGGGAGAGGGGGGGGGCAGGAAACTGACTGCTTATGGTTGGTTGTCATTATTTCTTTAACAATTTAAGTACGCAGTCAGTGAGAGGAGTGCAGTAACATAATTTCTGTAACAATTGAAGCAGCCAGTTAGGAAAATGTGCAGGAAAGGAGAAAATTATTTTTCTTCAGTAATCAAGTTGCACCATCAAACTTTGTTTAATTTACTTTTTTTCTTTGGTACCTAATGAAGTCTCATTTTCAAATTTGTTTAACTCCCTAGAAACCCTAGATTGTAAATTTTTCAGTCAAAATTTTTTTCAAAAATTTGAATCAAATTGTTTCCAACAATTTAAATCAAATTGTTTTTTGGGGTAATCAAATTAAGTTGTTAAACTTGTGTAAACTTACTGTAGGTAATCAAATTATTATTGTAATTAAATGCACCATTAAATTGTTGTAAGATTTAATTTCCAGTTTTATAATTCGGTTTTGTTTTTTTCATTTAGAATTAGTTTCCAGTCACGCTCCACGAGTCCGCTGGACAGCCAGTCGCAAATAATGCTCATGGGTTAATTTTCAAAAACATCCGTTTCTCGGCTTTTTAAGCCACAGCGACCCAGGGGCATTGATTCTTCGCCTTGACTGAAAAAGGATTTGACACTAATAGCGACGAAAATTGACATGGATGAACCCATGGAAAAAGAGGTCAACATCGAAAGTTCTCTGATCAGGCTGAAACTAAGCTAGTCCTCTTAGACATGACACGAGGAGTTCGATTTTTTGGTCGAAAACCTTCTCGAGTCTTCAGTGCCTGAAAACATTTTAAATTGACCAATTGAATCACTTCATTTGCGACAGGTTGCATAATGAGGCTGCTGTCGTCATCTTGAGTACTTTGATGATATCTAATTTCTCTCATCAGAGGACATTTGCGTTGATTTTTACCTCTGTTTCCCTATTCTCCAAGTTTCTGCCAGACTCCCTTTAAAATTTCACTGCTGGTGGACGGATAAAATAAATTCTTCACAGGACTCAGGTATTCAAATAAAGAATTTTCTATTAAATTTAAAATAATTACATACAACAAATTAATAAAAATATAAGGAAATAACGATATATGATATTAACAGTTTGTTCTTTGATCATTTTGTGTCAAGTGGAAGCAAAGGTGCTTTGAATTTCTTCCATCAAGTTAGAGAGCAGGCCTTGAGAATTACTCTTAGTTTCCACAGAGATATGCTTTGATTCTGTTTTCAATAGGATGCAAATATGGAATCCACCAGCAGATTGGCTGTAGAGTGATGCAGTCTGATTGATTTTCTCTATGACGGATAAGTTGCATCTACTGCACAGCTCCTCAAGCACCTGTAAGGATGAATGAAAGTTAGATATGTTAGCGGTCCTTGTGGTAATGAAAAACAGAATGATCCTTCTTCAGAATAAAAAGTAATTTCTTTCGCTTTATTAATTTTCATTGTTTTTTTGCAGCTGAAAACCTCCTGCCTTTTTAGAGTTTTCTTATTTCAGCCTTGTTTTACCCGTGTATTAATTTTATACTGCAATCATATTCATTCACTGACAATCCAGGAGTTCTTCTAATTTTCCATAATGAGTCTAGGTTTCATTACGAACGGATGTGTTCTTATATTTAATGAGCCAACAATGCAACTTACATAGTGCTGACTTTAACAGTATGTATTGCTTGCCTTAAGAGGTGCAGTTTTAAGCTTTAAGAGATCACTTGCAGAACGAGGAATAGATTTGGCTAGGACATGAAATATTGTTGACTAAATCAATTACCTTGCTGAAATTTTTGGACTGAATGACTACGGAAGACTTATGCACAAGCTCACTACCGGCAAGAAGTTCTGCATAAGAAGTGCTGGACAATTGCACCGGTCGAAGGAATGAAGATACAGGGATCCTCAACCAAAAATCTAGTTTATCTACAGACATTGACCCATCTGAAAGCTGAAAATGTAGAAAAAAAATACATGCTTTGGATTAATTTTTATTTTATTAGTATTAATTGCATCGATAAAAAAGAGAGGGAAAATGCATATGGATCACAAAATGATTTACCATATCATATTGTCATAGTTGCTTCAATGGTCTTCAGGTTTTAACTTTTATCTGATTACAGCTATTTATACATATCAATAGCTAGATGCAAAAAATGCATATTTCAATTCCAATGTTTGAAAATCTCTGATTATATTTTATTTCCTCCGAGGAGAACTAATCTGAATATTTCCTTGCGATTTTGTGTGATTTTTTTAGAATGTGTGAAGAGAATTCAGAAAAATTTCAATAAAAATTTTTTGTTGGTTTTCTTTTAAAAGAATACAGTATGAGGGAAGATGTTCAACATCACGACCTGAATTTCGCAGTTTCCGCAGCAACAGCAACATATCAGCAACAGCATGGTACTCTTTTTTTCATAGAAACTGATTGTGAATGGTATTTTTATTGTGAGAGAAACCCTATGAAAATTTTTAATTAGGGAATTCTTTCTATTTAATATGACGACAAAAACGTAGATGAAAACCCTAACTCCTCACCTCTATGTTATACGATAATGTTCCTCTTAATCGGTGTACTATTGTTGAATCTCCTACTTGCAATTTGACTGAAATAGTTGTACTTGATTCTGAACTAAGCTCTCGAAGAAGTTTTACTGAGTCTATCCTTTCTGAGACCTGACAACAAACAAAAAAATTAATATTAAATCAAGAACATCTTTAGTCTTTCTCTTCTTCATCATGCCGACTTAACACTTAGAACAGATTTTTACTTCTAAAGCTAATATTGAATGCAAGGATTTCTTAAACAAATGTATCTCATTCTAGAAATTTATTTTTCCTAAGTGCATTAGTTTAACTTCATCTTTTTTTTTCCTGAAAAGAAAAGACAAAATAAGAGTAAACAACAAAAGTATGTCTTTCTCCGTCATGTGTTGCGCAGCAAAGCATTTTAACGATGTAAAGGTCCCAAAATTTCTAAATATATTCATGATTCTGCATAAGTAAACGAAACATTGATGCACTTTCAGTTTTAGAACCTATGGGTTGTTTTTCACATCAATGTAAAGAAACCAGGAAAAATGTTCATTTATGGTAGAATAAAAAGAAAATACTTTGAACATTACTGTAATGTTGAACAAAATTGTAATGTTGGAAACAAAAATAAATAACAGGCTGAGGGTGTTTTTTTTTTTTTACATTTTGCGTGCTTCATTAATACAGAGCTTTGAAAAAAGATTGAAAAAAAAACTTTATAACAAGTCTTTGTAAAATATAATAGGAAGAGTTTAACACATACCTCGTTAATTAGTTGAACATTCAAAGAATTTGCCACTGACATTTCAATTTCTTTCAGGGGAGTTGCACTTTTATTATGCACTGTTAAACTTACATCCAGTCGATTATTCGCATTTGATTCTAACGTCACCAGATATTCCTAAAAAAAATAAAAAATGTACAGATTGATGTATTTCAATATTATGTGCAACAATTTCAATGATTACCAAAATAAGAAGATTTTCACCTACAAGTGTACGCAAGACAGGAATTTTAGGAAAAATCTAAGAGAACAAGATATCGTCACCTTCCGGGCAAAGTATCACAAGCGCCATGCGACGCTTCAAAATTTCCGCCGCCATTTTATTTTATTACAGAGAAATTGTTGGTTGAATCTATTTGAAAATTTCACTGAATTTTATCGGAAGCAGAAAGAAAATTCAGTGAAATTTTCGGACAGCTTCGTTGAACAATTTCTCTGTAAAAAAATAAAACGGCAGCGGAATTTTTGAAACGTCGCATGGCGCTTGTGATACTTTGCCCGGAAGGTGACGATAAGTAGTCTGTTATGAAACGGGCGACAATGCTTTCCTTAATTTGGTCTTTTTTTTTAAGGTTAAGTTAAAATTGATGATTAGATTTTAATTAATTTTATTGGAATCAATTACTTCTTGACCAACAGAGTGCTCCAGAATCAGTTTTTTGTTACTTTATAGTGAACATCATCCACTTTCACTTGCTTGTAGATAATTTACTTCTGAATGGAAATACAATGTTGAAGGAAAATAAAATTAGCTAACTGTAAATTTTAGGCAGCCGCTAATTTTTGTCAAACAGAGGTGGAAATACATACCACTGATAGTAATTTACTATCAACAAGTTGGTGTTGACGGTTGGTAGGAATGACTGTCACAACTTCTTTTGAGGGAGTTGAAATTCCTAACGCTTCCTCATAGTCCTCCTTACTATGAATTGTTCCTTCAGGCAAAAGTTCATCCATACCACTGATATTACTCTTCAATTTTTTACCTGAAAAATGAAACTCTTCTAAGTATATTAAAGTAAAACATTCGTTAGAATTCTGTCAAACTCAAAATTTACGTTTTTGTCTGGAGCGATCCCTTTTCATCCATCTCAGGATTATTCCATGCAAAATCGATTAGTTTATATAAATGTGCAGAGCACCAATGATAAGTCTCTTCCAGGTTTAAAGTCACCTGAAATACGAATGATTGAGGGTATAATGGGATACAGAGGGTTACTCGCTTACTGGTTCGGAGGACACCCTTGCATCCTGATTTATTAATATGTTATTTAAGTTCTGACAGCAAAAAGGATAGAAGACTCATATATTTTTTAAATTGCTTATTTGCTACCTTGTGTTTCTAGTCCAAACGCAAATAAATTGGTTTCAGATTTTAGAGATTACAAAAAATAGGGAAAAATGACACAAAATTATGATCTTCAAGGTCTTGACTTACTTTTCTTGGAGGAATGCTTATGTTTTTTCGTCTTCTCTTCTTTCTCAGCTTTTTTCTTCTTCTTTTTCTTCTTTGTGTCACCATTGGCTAATTCTGATTCCATCTCTTCGTATCCACTTGGAGTTATCAATGTGACATTATTCTATGAAATTGAAAAACATACATACATATAATGAATATCACGGAATGAAAAAGAAAAAATTAAAACAAATATGGAAAGAATGACTCTGCCTTTAAGATCTAACTTACGACTATAAAATGAGTCTGTTTTTTTAATATATAAGGTGCACATAAATGAATTAAGTTTTTTGAACCACTCAAGAGTCAAATTGAGCACATTGGAAAAGTTTAAATCCACTCCTGGATTAACGATAAGAAAAGTTGGTATCACGAATTTTCAACTTCCAAGCGTCCACAAGCTTTACTCCTTCATCAGCAAAAAAGTTTGCTAGAGGAAATATGTATGCAGACTAAATCTAAATATTCCAAAAATGTTGCAAACTGTCTCCCATCTTTTTCAAGTACAATTTTAGTAATTTTGAAGAATTTGTTTTCCCTTTCTTCCTTTACATAAGGAGTGATCAAATTCTTTGAAACAAAAGAAATCAAACGAGAATCAAACCAGACTCACTATCAGTGCTAGAAAATGCATGAGTGATATCTGAGACTTCCAGAGCGTTTTTGAGCAAAAATTTGTTTTCACACCTATGTTATTTTGTTTATTTGCCTAGAGCAAAGGCTAAAACACTCAATCTTCATAATTTTTACGATGCATGTATTTTATGGCATACCAAAATTGGCACTCAGATTTTCAATTGTAAATTAAAATTTAGAAACAATTAATGCGTCCTTTTCTTTAAAAAAAGAAGAAGAAGAAAAAAAACCAAAGTTTCCTTGTGAAAAAAAAATGTTTACCTGTGATTTGACAGTCTTTTTGGAAGATTTAGGCCGTATATCTAAATTGTTAGAATTGACTTTTGTTAGTCTCTCTTCATCTCGCAGAGGCCTGAAAGAACAAATTAGAAATAGAATTCAAAATATTAGGAATCGAATTGTTCACCCCACAAGTCGATCATGGGATGATGATAGAAGTAAAATCAAGTAAAACCTGAGTCCTTACAATTGCTGCCATGTTCGTCTATTTGATATTGTCCTTCGCTAAGGGCTGATTGACTACTGAACGTAACTCAATAATAAAATAGCAATTTAATCTGGGGAAAGACTGCAATAGAGTACAATAGATCAAAAACAAACCGAGATGTTTGAAAATAATTAAAATCTTATTTTCAACCGGAAAAAAAGGAAAAATGAGATCAAGCAGCAAATCAATGACTCATTTATGGCGTTTTTCTGATTGAAACATCCTAGAATTCTTAATCTTTTGTTTTTTATTGCAGCTTTTCCCCAATTGGAGTTGATATTTAATTATGTTTTTTATTGGATTAGGTTGTTTCACATTCTCACGATTGATTCTTCTCTTTCAGCAAAGCTGTGCGGTGCACACTATATTCAAAGATTTCAGCAAACTGGTTGTGTCATAGAATTTATTTTAAAAGGCATGCATCTCTATTGCTTTTTCTGTCATGTTTGCTAGGGCACAACGCTTGAAAGTTTTGTTCCCCTCTCTCTTCCCTGCAGAGTATTTGATGGCTTTAGGGGAATTTAATTCTGATAGACAAGCTAGCTCAGGGATGCAGAATTCAGAGTAAAAACCTTATCTTTTGGCTCTCAAAGTTTTGCAATTTAGCAAGGAACAAACTTTCAATTTGAGTTCAATTCACTACTTCATTTAATAGCCTTCTATTTCTTGCACATGATCTATGTCCCTACGCCCCTAGGATAAGCAAAAATTTAGGGACAAAAGAAGAGAGATAAATTCTATAAAAATGAAAATTATCATGGGGAAAAAAAATGAAAATACAGCAAGAATGAGGTAACGTAATTGCATTATGTACCGAGTAAAAAACATTTTTTGCTCTCTTTGCAAATGGGGCTCCTTTAATCTCAGTTGCTTGCATAGTTATTATTTAGAATCATTCAAAATACTTAGAACACCGAACATACGGTACTCACTCATCTAGATTGATGTCGAGAGCTCTGTGTGGATCATCTTCATCTATTTTCTCTTCCGTATCATTGTCTGAGTCTTGTGCACCTTCCGGCATCTCTCCCTTGCCGCGATTTACTTCAACTGTTAATACTTCCTCAGTCGCTTCTTCGATGTCTTCTTCGCTGCTTATTTCTTTCTTTGATTTTCGTTTTTTCTTTGTCTTTTGTTTCTTTTTCGATTTCTTTACTAGATAGTTATCAGAAGAGGCTAAACCTGCAACAAAAAGACAAAAATTTGTAAAAATGAATGTGCTTTTCCATCTCACTTTATTATTCTGGAGTAAATCTAAGTTAAAAGACCTACGCACAGAATACCAAAAAATTCGGCACCAGGTAAAATTCGAGATTTTTTAATGATGTACTCACAATCTCGAAAGTGAGCTCTATGAGCTCTTAAAATTGAGCTTTCTTTGTGCCAATATCAAGAAATTTGGGTCACAAAAATGCATTCTTTGGTAATTACTGTTATTGTGCGGAGAAGGGGCACCATCGCTGTTGAAGATGTGAGACCTTTTGTTTTGAAGTGAGTTGACAGGCTATCTATCTCTCCGGCTTGAAAGAGATGAAGAGAGATAGGCTCACTCCTCAATCATCTACATTTTATCATTTGATAATGTTTGTAAGACTGCCTAAAAATGCACTCTTCAAACCCGAAATTCTTGAGATTGGGAAAGTAGAACTTCGATTTTAAAGTTCAAAAAGGCAATTCTTTTTTACCTTCAATAACCTTCTAATAGTTAATCTTGTTTCAAACAAAAAGACATAATTTCTATCCGCATTTAACTGCCACGCTCTTGCAGAAAATTCTTGTGCTACAATTTAAAAGTTGAACATCAGCTTCTGAGTGGGTAAATCTGCGTTATGTATGGATTTTTGTTGACCAAGTTGAATTGATAAAAATCTTGAATATCATGGTTTAGGAAAAGCTGAAAATATAAAGTGTTTATGAATACCTGGAATTGTAAGAGGAACGGCTAAATCTATGGCAGCCACTGGAATATCTCCAACATCCATGTTTTTGTCCATTTTAAGATAATTAGGATTATTTGCTTGTTCTATCTTACGAGATTCTCTGGCCTAAAACACAACAAGAAAGGTAAGAGAGGGTTTGAAACTACAAAAATAAAAGAGAAAACCTCAAACCAAAACATTTTAGAAAATAGACCACTGGACAGGTAGAGAAATTAAGCATTTTTTCTTCATCAAAATTTTCTTCTGCGGAACACGTTGAATACATCAAAATCTTCGAGTGAATTCATAGGAGAGAAATAAAAGTTCAATATTTAAAATATGATTGGTAAATTCAAATTTCTCACTCACAAGAAATCATAATCAATCCAAGCCATGAATTGAAGTCAACCGTACATTAGGCAAATATAGAGCTTGGTTTTATACACATTTCCTTTCTCTTCTGATACAAGGTAACTTTAATTTTGTCAAAAAGAAGCTACTTCACACGAATATTCTTACATCGTAAAGAATACAAAAATAACCATAGTGATTGATTTAACTGGAGTAGACTCCGCTATTTCTATGAGTAGATGGTGTGAACTGATATGATAAAAATCGTTATTTTCTAACTTATGAGTTAAATTTGGAAAGCTTAAACACGTCCTTTGTATTTGGCGTAAAATTTTGATAAGAAAACAAATATTGAAGCTCTTGTATGCCGTCTAGTACTCCATTGAAAAAATGCTCGTAGCAAACTCAGTCAGGACATATAGAGCACTTTTTATGTGTTCCTTGAAAATTTTAAGCAACTCAACCTACATATTCTTATCAACAATGATGAATGCTTCAACTATGATCAGTCATTAAAAGAGGAAAGTATGCATTCATTCTTTGATCATTAATGTCCATTAGGTACTAGGACTTTTTGTGAAAATCAATTTCTTTTTCACTTCTTCACTTCTTTCACTTTCTTTGTTCTTCATCATAAATAAAAATTGATACAAAACAATCGTGTGAGAGTGAGAGGGACATTACACTGGAATTAGTGACAACATGAGCTGAACGTTATTTGGCATTTAACTGATATATTTTATTAGCAGGGTATTACCTTCATTATATCTTCTTCTGTGATCTTAGGGGCTTTTTTCTCTTCACCGGACAGTCTTTCGTCATCGTTTATGGCAAAAATATTTGATACAGGTTCCTCATCTGAAGGGGCATCCTCACTGTCTGAGGATAAGGGGTCATTGATCCATTCGTCCAAGTTCAAACTGATAAAAATAAGGAAGAAACGGGTGATTTTACTTGATATATTTTTCATAACTTCAGGAAATAGAAGTGCCGGTAACTTGTAAAAAGAGACATTCAAATAATCTTTAAGAAAATACTTAAAGGCAAAAATATTGGGAACATTTATATTAACTTAACCAGTTGAAAGTTCCGATAAAAATATAAAGCGTTAAACTGAAAAATAGGACAAATTCACAATATTTGATGAAATTTTCTCAGCAGAAAAGCTATGTGCTGGTTTAGACAGCAGATAGGGCAAATTAAAGTTCTGGGTCTGTATACCTACTGACGATGTATCCATTTAGATAATTGGGCAAACCGAATAATTGCTAGAAATTTAGCCTAACTCTAATGTAATGACTTATTTCATAGATCTTCTGTTGTCTATTATATTTTTATTCTAGTTGGTTTGAGCCAAAGTAAATTTCAATCTACTTAAGTAGCGAAAATAAATTCCTGACTTGGACTTACCCTTCGGGTACTTGAACTTTCCGCTGAGCTTTAGGCGCAACAGGGTTCAGTTCTCCTGAAAAGAGCGCAGATAATTCTTGAGCAACTTCAAATTCTCCTGCCATAAGTTGTTTTTCAACGAATTTAACAAGATGAAGTGCAGAGCTGGCTCTTTCTTGTACCTCCAGGTCTGCACTAGCTATGAGCTGAGGCAGTTTTTCAATTATAAGGCTACAGATCTGAAATAAAAGAAGAGCAGGGAAAAATCATTAGAAATAAAACGCATTTTGTTCTAGAGAAAAGCTGATTTGGGAAAATTGGTTCACATGTTGCCTGACACAGTGCTTTAGGTACATATACCGCCCTGTGGCACCATTCCCCCTCCCCCCCCCCAAAAAAAATTAAAAATAAAAGTTCAGTGGAGCAGTCTCTTGCTGGAGCCACATCGATCATGAGTCGTAAGTCTATACACGGCTTTAACAACAGCTGGCTTCATGAAGGTGTTTGATGTGAGCGACCGCATACCAGTCAAAGAAACCAGCATGGCAGGCAACATACTAGACTACAAGGATCAATTTTAAAACTAAGCATTTCAATTGAATTCATCATACACTTACTTTCCTGGGAAATTGAAATTACTCAGTGCAGATAGGGTTCTTGGAAGCAAGTTTGAACACAGCTTGATAAGATGTAAAAAATGGTTGCTTCTTCCAAACTATGATTCAATGCTAACGATCGCATAAAATTTCACTGAAAAACTTAATGCAGATGGACATTTGGAAGATTTTTCATAGTTATATTGTTCAACAATTCTGGTCACTTACCTCCTTCCAGTGTTCATCATTTTCCAGATCTGAATTCGAAAGTTCGGTTGCAAATATTTTGAGAATGTTCTGAACGTAATAGGCTTGAATATGACCGGGAAGAGCATTGACACGACCACCCAGCATGGCAGATAAAGTGCTCTCTCTGTTTGGCAGTAGCCTACAGGGCACAAAGTCAAAAATTCAGTTTTGGAAACGAAAAATTTTCCTTAAATAAGAACAGTTCAGTGATAAAAACACGCAGGCTTTGAGTTCATCGCAGATAATTGAAAAATTTACTGAGGTAAATCCTGTTAAAACCGGAACATAACGCTTACTTGGTAAAGTGATGAGAGCCCTTAATTTTAGGTACTTTAATAACAATCACGATTTACTGGACATAGACTTTATCACGAAAGCTTATGTTTTCTCAAACTTTCAGTTTATTTCCAGTTATATACATGATAAGTTCATATATTTTAAGTTACCATGTGCCTTGAAGTCGCCACTTCTGTTAAATGCTTATTTTGTTCTTTGAGTACGAAATCTGCATAAGAAGATTTTAGTGAATTGAGTGTATGAATAAACTAATTCCGTTGCACTCAAATTGTACTTCCATTGGTATTAACAATTCAGCTTAAAATTGGAGCTGTTCATACACATTGAACGAACTAAAAGGTTAAATTTTTCTGGGCTTGTGCAACAAAAAGATAAAAGTTAGGGGAGCCAATCTACAACACCTACCCATACGGTCTGAGCATTTACACATGCGTCCTTCCTGTTAACTGATAATTGTTCATCATTCCGCACAGTGTGATTAAGGGAGCTCAGCATTACAAATAATTTTTCCTTTTGGAATAATTACTTCCTACTTTCAATTTCATGACCTAATTTTAGTCTTACAGAGTCTTAAAAAAATTGAGATTTTGTTTCATCATTTTATTGGTAAAAGAATAAATTCAACTTACGAAGCGTATTCTCCACAAATCCAAGCAGCTGCATAAAGAACATCTGCCATTTTAGAACTAGGTTGCGTGAGAATGTGAGCATTTTCAAGAAGAAGTGCCATTTGTTGGACTGCGAAGGCTCTAATCGCTTGTACTCTGATGGCTACATCCATCATCTGTTGAGCCACCAATGGTCCATGTTGCGTTCCGTCCATTCTTGTCAATTCTACAAGGACACTAACATACCTGAAAACCAGAGATAAAGTATGAGCATTCATTTAAAAACTTTGAACTATAATTCTTCAGAACAAAAAAATTACAGAAACAGCATTCCTTCTGTTTCAACCATTCTTTGTGAGTAACACCACTCAGAGTCACATTCTCTCAATTGATACGGAGGTAATTAATATTGAGACCTTTAAGGATACTAGTTTTTTTTTTTTTTTAATCATGACAGATTTAAATTTGTCATTGACTGGTGATTAGAGGCAAGACAAAATATCAACTGCAATTTTTTTAGGCTCGGTAAAAGCTTCTCTGGCAAAAAATTCACTTGGAAAGCATATAAAGAGGTCTAAGGAGTTAGCCAAATCAACAGCACCATCACCATTTTTGTCAATATTGGAAAATAACCAGGCAGCTTGGCTGAACAAATGCTTTAAAGCGAGCACATTCTCAGATGCATTAAACTTAAGAGAAGGCTGAACCCTGGCTAGAGACACGCCAAAACAGTGCTCCTTGCGCTTTCTGGTGTCAGAAAGTAAAGATCAAGTATTCTATTGAATTAATCAAGTCCCAGAACCTTTTTGAGTGAAAAAAGAATTTCCAACGTCAGATGTGTGAAGGCCTTACCATTCAAAATTCGTAATATATTGATAGTTATTCTGGGAACAAATATCAACAATTTTTGCTAGAAGCTCATCTCTGTACATTGTTCCTTCCGCCAGATTCATGTGTACCATTAATTTCTTCACGATTTCCATCAAAGTCTTTTTGGATACCTGGAATAAGTTAAAATCGAAAGAAGAGTTTTAAAGTTAGAAAAAAGCTAACCTTAAATTATGAAAGTACTTTAGGTGAAGAGTTACTAATAAAGAAGCTCTCTGAATATAAAAGTTTCAATCAGGCATGCAGAAGATGGCTAAAATCAATCTTAGGATCACCACTAACATATGTAAAGCAAATCTCAAGGCAAGAGGCAGTTAAAAAAAAATTGACTTTATTTTCCAATTTGTTTTTCTTGCTCTATACTTCAGAAAATGTGGGGCAAACTGCACATTTTCTCTTGAATTTGGACATTTGGCCAAAAGATAATTCAGATACATGACTGCGAGACAAAAACGTTGGATCATGGCAAACATATGACGTTTTGCACCTTTGGTTTCAATGCAGCTGGTCACATTTAAAGATTGATGTTGACTATTTCATTTGTCAATAATTAATAGCCAAGATAATTTTTCTCTGGGTATAATTCAAACTTATAAGAAAAATGAGAGCGTTTCAGACAAGATGAATAGAAATTTATGAATTTGCTATCAATTTAGGAGAAACTTAAATTACTTTGAGAGAATTAGGTATGTAGATTCAATATGGTGCTAGAGAATCGGAGACACTCAGTATGTTCATAGAACCATTAATTCCGGCCACTTGAGACCACATTAAGAGTTCATTAGATACATCATTCTAAAATGATAGGATAAAATTGATAAAAATATTACAAACCATTCCATAGAGTAGGTCCAACGCTCTAAGTCTTATGGATTCATCTTTGTCGTCTAAACACTGCATTATCAAGTCTTTGTGTGCTTGCACTGATTTTGGATGAGTCTTTAAAATCTTTGACATTGCAAGTAATCCTAGGTACTTCACTAAAATTGGTAGAAAAAAGAACAGAAAAGGTCAATGAATTTTAAGAATGAGTAAAATGGTATAAAATAAATTAATTTCCTCTTCCACCAAAGGCATCAAAAAGTCAAACATAAAGAAACCCAAGGTGTAGAATAGTAGCCTATAAGCTAGGCTCGTTTACAACACTTCAAGTAATTTTAAACAGGTAATAGGACAATAACTTATTTTTTATAATTATTTTTTATCATTATTAAAAGCTCTGATTTGCAAAATTTTCACTTTTAGACCACGCTTCAAAAAAAGATCTTCATGCCAATTTTTATAACGGACCACTGAAGAAAGTATAAATTCAAGCATACTGGCAAGTGGTTCCTCTTTAAAACTAGTTTCACATAGAGAACGAATCATGCTGTCACAAATATATTTAGTTCGCCGTTTAACTCGAGTAGATTATGGCTTTTTAATTAGCTGGAAGTTTGAACTTATGCATGCTGGAAGCTTGAGTTTATGCATTAAAAAATGTTGGCAGGTATCTTAGTTAGTTTCACTAATGTTTGTTGCACAAATCGTGTTCTACATGAAATTTTTTAAATTGGAGGATTTTTTTTGCTTTGAAAGAATGGAGAACACCAAAGTTCGGGCAACTACTGCTCGCACGTGCCAGGAACAGGCAGACAGCCCCACCCCCCAACAGCCGCAAGCAACTGACGCGGGGATCAAGAAGGCCACCCGCACCCAGCACACACGAGATTGAGGCATGCTCGATGGTCAGCAGCAAATAAGTATCCAATTCATCACTTAGATTAGTATTCAAAGTACGATGTGTCAGTCAAACTCACAATTTTGATCGGAATCTTCGATGAGAATTCTCAACTTCTGGACACATAGCTGAAACAGAAAGGTTAAAAATATGTTTAAAAGACTTTCATAAGTTATATCATGTGGAGCAAGTTATCTCAAACCTCTTGGCTCCTATTTAAATTGAAAAAAGTTAAGTAATATGCAATCAGAAATACATTGAAGATTGGGAGACTAGTATTCGGACAGATTTAACTGCAATCAGCCAAGCAACACTTCACATTTCCTAAGTGCATCTCAGGTTTTATTTTTCAACAGAGACTTACTGGCTGTCAACTTTCAGTGAATTTTCTCTAAATTATAAAGAATATATCCGCACAATTTCAAGTTTTAGTATTGTTCAGTTTTCTATTAAAAAAAAAATAAAACATCAGAGAAAATTCGGCGATGTCTGAAGAAGTTAGGCTGATTCCAGCTGAATCTATCAATTTGAATTGAAATAGAACAGACTGAGGAGGCTGACTTACCTGAATAGAGGAACTGTGGTTGGGCATGCCAGATGAAATAGAGATCAACACTGCAACAAAACAACAACAGAAAAAAATTAAAAAATAGAACAAAATTAGAAAATTGGCCAGGCACAGCTTACCAACAGTGACTAGCAGGGGAGAAAAAATAAACAATGATTGAGTACATAAAGAAGTCAGCAGACAGCCCCACCCCTTGACAGTTGCAAGGAACTGACAGGGGATCGAGAAGGCCACCCGCAACCAGCATACAAAAGACTGAGGCATGCTCAATGGTCCGCATCGCAGAAGTGGGTTTTGACTCCGACTAGCAAACCCCCCCCCCAATCACAAAATTGGAGGATAAGCGACTCATTCCACTAATTCTTGATGGAATTGACACATGCGTGCAAAAAATTTGATATGATTGAGTTTTTTTACACATTTGAGTAACAATTTGATGATTTGCCAAGATCTTAAAATCCAGCTAATTTCAAAAACTGATGTGATGTGACACATCAATCAAACGTGAATGGAAATTTTAGATGAGCCTTTAAACCTTTCATGCCCATTTTTTTCTATCATGTTTGATGTTTGGGCTATTTAGTGTTTTGTTTTCTTACGTAAAAAATAACAAACAAAGCATGAAAAAGAGGAAAAATTGTTTTACCTGCAATGACAGTGTTTATGCATTCATATAATAGTGACATTGCGGAAGTACTGAAAAATGAAAGAAGAAAAATACATGAGATGAGAATCAGACTAAAAAAAAGCTGCCACAGGCAAGATTGGCCTGACCTACTAAATTCAGAATTAGTAAAGTAAAAACAGTAAAAAGGTGCATTATTGCATTGGAGAAGCAAGAGATTATATTAAAACAAAAGGCTTACGCATTTAGACTTCTGTGCTATTAAAAAAAAAGTCTCTCGAAATACAATATTTACTGCGATCAAGAAACCTGAAATCTTATGAGAGGGTCAATACTTTCTTCACATTCACTTGCTTACACACAAATGCTGGATGAGTTTAACACAAAGGACATCTTATCCTGGATGACAACTGAAATATTAACTTACAAGTAACAGTCACCGTTATATTGAAGTTACTTTATTTTCCTTGGCAAGGCAAAATACATTTGCAGACAATAAATAAAACATGCTTCCTTCTCTTATTATCCTTCAGCAACACTTCATGGTGAATATATTACAATAAAATGCAAGAAGGTTGTATGAGACACAAATAAATATTAATTTTTCTACCGAGTTTTTGCAAAATCTCTTTACCAATTAAAGCAAAACCTTGGTTACATATTCCTACAAAATAGACGATACAAAAATATATAAATGCACTCTAATTTATGACTAAACTACACTTCAAAGGATCAGAATTTATGTACTGCTAGATTTCAACTGCCAATAAATCTGCTAGTTGCATACATACCTCAATCATATGACAATAGAGTAAACAAGATTGGGAATAAGTTATGCATAAAATTACTCCTATACTAATCAGCATTCAGAGAAATTTCTGCCCGTTTAAGACAAAATAGGGTAAATTTTGAAAAATGATGCCTTGAGCCAGTGAAATTTACAAATTTGCTATGAAAGCCAAAGTAATTGCATAAACAATACAAAATTATGTAAACTCAAGTGAATCTGCTTCATGGCAAAATAGCATTAAAGACTGTCAATGAGTATATTACCGAAAAAACTGTGCAGGAACTGTATATTGCAACTACTAAATGAAACTTTTACTAAAGATATCTGATCTAGACTAATAAAACTTGAAAACAAGCCTGTGTGGTTTAAATAAATACAAATAAAACAGAGATTATCTGATTTACTTAGCATATAGCAACAAACTATGCTGTAAAAAAAGAAGCCTGAAATAGCTTTTCAAGTTCAGCAAACATTGTATGATTAACACGATGTCCAAAAGGTAGTAGTATTGAAATAAATCAGTATGTGGAGTGTGGCCAAGTGCTAGAAATAATGTAACATTTTTTGGAAAACTTACATTTTATTGATAAAATTTGACCGAAACTTTTCGAAGCAAGCGCGTCATCATCAGGGTAAAAAAGTATTAATTACGAAAGCCATAACTTAATTTCAGACAGTGGTGACAATTGATAACAATTAGTTTTTAGTCTATTAGTCTATTAGTAATTTAGTCTATAGTCTAATTGTTATCAATTGTTACCACTGTCTGATATTAAGTTATGGCCTTTGTAATTAATACTTAGTGACCCTGACGATGAAGCGCTTGCTTCGAAAAGCTTCGGTCAAATTTTATTAATGAAATGTACGTTTTCCAAAAAATGTTACATTATTTCTAGCACTTGGCTACACTCCACATACCAAATAGCTTTCCAGCTACACACTTTTGCTACAAATCAGTGTCAAAAATATTATTTCGGTTTTTATACTTCAAACTGGTAATATAAACGCGAAAAAAAACCATGTGCAAATGAATAAAATCAAAAGGAGCTATGTTGGTTGTAAAACTTATGCACATAGTTCCTTTGGATTCAATTAATTTTCACATACGTAGTTCCGTTTAGCTGGAATACGTCTAATTTAAAACCTTGCATGGTATGAATATTGAAACTATGTAATAACAGGCATTCAACAAAATCTACACAGAATTCAATAACTTCTTGTTGAGATAAGGTTGTGTAATAAAAATAATCATAATGATACAAAACTTCAAATTGATGCACAGATGAAAAATAAAAAGGCTCAATCAATGCTTCGCCTTATTCAGTAAGACTTAGAAATAATGAAAAACAAGGCGCATATTTAAAAGTCATGGGATAAAATTATTAGGCTCTTATGGTCTTTGGTTTTGATAGACCAAGTTTTACCGTTTTCCTGTTACATTGCATGAGGTCATTTAACTAAGCAACATGGCTCATATCTTGGCTCTTGAGGTGCTTCATAAAAATGCGTGGTATAAATACGGGTGCGTATCATACACGGGAATTTTATTTTTTCACTTTTGGGTGCCTGGAAATCAGGAAATCCTATGTATGGTGTGGCCTTGCGCACATAGAATAAATGTAAAAGCCTAATTTAAAGAAATGGAAACTATGAACTAGTCTACAATTACCTGTGGATAAGATTGGTTAAGGGTTCTATCAGTTTTTTACCAAGCCGAGGCTCAAGCGGGGTCAAAGCACCAAACTATAACAAATAAATTCAATGAGCTCACATTACTATGCATTTACCTTGAGATGAGTTCAATCAGAGGTTGCGTTAACTTACGTCCGATTCGTGGCTCAATTAATGTTAGACTTGCAAACTGTAAACATTTTCCATTCAATCCAAAGAGAAGTAGGTATACAGAAAAAGAACAAAAGCCAATGATTGGACAGGGATGAATAAGTCAGCATTGCTAGGAGGAGAGGGTTTTCATTTCGATGGCTTAGTTTCTGAACTGGAGCTTTTAGAAATCTCCAATTATGTTTTATTTTAGGTAATCACAATTTTTCCAGCAATTTTGTGAGAAGGAATGAAAAAATTCCTAGACAGCTTCAATTAAAACTGTTAGGTATTTTCCTTCAAAAAACGAAACAAGACCGGAGACTTACAACATCTCAATCTGAAATACGAATTTTTTTACTTCAACCCTTTTTATATTCCGCCCTGTTTTTTTCCTTTTGAGGGAGAATGTATTTATTCATCTTATCTTCCTGGCCAAAGAGGAGAGAAAAGGTTTCCTTGAACACCGATCTTGTGTTGACGTTTTGACGAGATAATGCTGGTACCTAAAACTGTCCCCTCTTGAAACTAGCAAAAGGAAAATTTGATTCTTAAATTGAGATTAGAATCGCTAAAAATTAGAAAACTCAAAATTTCTTTATGTAATTTATCTGTTCAACATTATAATTACTTATAGACAAATAAATTACATAAGAAAAGTTTGAGTTTTGAAATCTTAAGCGATACCAATCTTAATTTAAAGTGTTCTTTCCTTGTTTTACTATTATTTTGATTTTTATGCTTATAGAGCTCAGGAGATCATAAAAATAAGAAAAATATCAGGTTCAATATTAACAATACTTAGCTGACACTGAATTTTTCGACTTACTGTGCAGAGTTTTTTAGAGAAACTTCAAAAGAGACACAAAGTTAAAGTTTAACAACAGTATGCATTATTATTTGACACTCAGTGTGAGTTTCCTGAAACAGTCCACTATATTTTCATTCAAGTGCCTTCACTGCACAACCTGGATGAATGCATCAATGTTTAATATGTAAGCTGGATCAGATAGACGACTTTCCTGAATAATTTTATGTCCCTCAGAGTCATGGAATTTTATTTTTTCTTTACTTCAGAGTGAAAAAAATAAATATTTTAAGATCTAATGTGAATCATCCTGGAGATAATTTAAATTTTTTCAACACTTACAAGTTTAATTATTTTAATTAGCATCCAATTATTTGTGGAAGAAGTCATGAGTTTGAAGAAAATTGGAGCTAAACTGAGATAGTTCTTCGGATTTTTACGAGCTAACTCGCACACGACATTCACTGCTGCAGACTGAACACCTGTAAATGAAACAAAAAAATAAAAATACATCAATTTAAATGTAGGCACTGATTTTTGACTGATAGACCCTTTTCTTGATGGAACGAAATTGTTGAATAATAATAAGAAAATGGTGAGAAAAGATGTCTCCTTGTTTTCCATCTTTGCATTACCTTAGAATAATGTCAACAATTTCCAAAAAACTGGCTGAGAAAAACTTTATAGGGCAAAGGGGCCAGTGACCAATGACACAGCTTTCTTTGTTCTAAAATCACAGTGGAACTATTAACTTACCAGAATCAGGGTCTTCTAATTTTTCTTTCAGTCTCGGAAAAGCGGGTCGAAGGGCCTCAGGAAATCTAAGAAAAACCTTGTACATCATGAGAACAGCCTTCTTTCTCAGGTATGGTTTTGTTGAAGTAAGCTGAAAAACACAAGACTTGGATAAAAATAAAACACATAAAATTGAATATGGTCAGGGCTGTCATTTTCTTCCAACTTTTGAATTTCGTGAATTTTCTCTGAGGATTCCTTGCTTTTCTAAGATCTCTCAATTGGACAGCTTTTTTAAAGAAGGGCGTAACTATGAGGCTAACAAGCAGATGGTGACAGATGAAGAGTTTTGAGCTGATAACACCAATTGTGTGATCATGCAATTTTTGAGACATATTTCATTTTGTTTCATGTGTTTTTAGGCATTTTCAGTATCCAGCTCATGTTTCGGTCACAATCCATAGAGATGAAAAGGGTATTACTGTACTTACAACAATTACCTGTGAATCATATAGTTTTTCAAGCTTTTCATTGTGAAATGAATTTCTTTAACCAACTTGGTAGAGCTAGTAGAGCTAAAGGTGCAGAACCGATCAAAGCCTGTCCCACATAGAAAAACCCAAATATTAAATAACATTTCAATGATTTTAACGAAAAATAAAAACAAAAAACTTACCAGCATCATGATGTCATTTGCTAAATCACGAGCTAGATCTGCACTAATGAAACAGGCCAAGGCAGAGAGGGCTAGACCAGCATCGTACTGATTTTGGCTGTTCAAATCTTTTCTAATCATATTCGTGGTCAGCATAAGAAGCTAAAATAAAATGCGAATACATTTCTCATTAAACATAAGTATTGTAAGTTTCACTTAACAAAGATACTTGAAATTTCTTGAGATTTGGCAATGTTAAAATAGAAGTTATTGATAATATTCTCTATTAGAAAGAATTGGACTGAGTTCAACAGAGAGGAGCCGAGTCACATCAAGATCAAACTGAGAGAAAGAGACTTAAAATTGTCAGATAATACAATACAGCACATTTACATTTTCTTCATACAAAAATGATCAAAACAGCTAATAACTTACGTGTATGAATGATCTCTGGTGGGTACTCTAAGTCCACTTTTTCTACCCTGGTGGGGTTGTTGCATGCTCCAGGAATTGGTTAGTGAAGCCTACTTCTTTTTATTTCTTTTCTTCATAAACTGGATGAATAGAGCTCCCAGTGCTTACTTTTTCTGAATTTTTTTGACTCAAAATGACAGAAAGAAATCGATTTTGAGGTAGCCTTAATTTGGACCCATATTGACCAATCTTTTTGACAGTCTATTACAACATACGCATGAAATTTTGCGGGCTGCAATAAGTGGAGTAATTAACTTGGTAGAATGATAAAAGGGCTCACCTCCGTGTTACAATGAAAGCACTGAGAGGAAGCAAGATATCCAATTCGTTTGTACGTGAATTTGGAAGAACTCATGACTTCAATAATATTGAAACCTGCCCAACTTATATCATAGCCTAACATTTGAAGCTGTGAACAAAGAGAAAAAATAAACATATACTAAAGGTGGCAGGGTTAAAAATAACAAACTAAAAATACTAATTTTTTTTTTTTTTTTTAAATTCAGTGAATCTTAAATTACTTAGGTAGCCAAGGTAATTAGGGACTTCTTCACAATGATTCACTTTCCCAAAATCACTTCCTGAAAGTGTGTGAGCCATTTTAAAATAGTCAGGATGTACATAAATAAGTATCAAGAATAAATTAAACATCTACTTCAGTTTTAATTAATTTATAATAAACCCATACATAATTTGACGGTCAAAGTGCCAAAACTTGTTTTTCTGTTTGCGACATCTCAGACTTCCTGTTATTTACTTAAACATTATTTTTTCTTTGGAAAACTTCAGGGTAATTTTTTGAAAACTTCCTCGGTTTTCCTACTCGGTTAGTAGAATATTAAGTATGAGTTCTCAGCTTCGAAGTTGACTTCTTCTTGAATATAAGAAGAGCAGACATTTTGAAACACTGTAATGGAGATACAAGGTTTCCCACTTTGGACATCAATATACTGATAACTGGGGCCGCCAAAAATTGTGATATGAATGGGGTTTCAAAATTTTGTAAGAGATGAGAGTGAAAAAACAAATATAGAATATAATTTTTTAAATAATTGATCATAGAATATAATATACATAAATATTCACGCAAATATCTAAGTAAACTAGAGCGCTCTGCAACTCCTGATAGTCATCAAAATCTATTTCCCCACAGATCATCGGGCAATCGATGCCTTTCCATCTTTGGAGAAAATAGAATTCAACAATGAAAAAAATTTAAGTAAAAGAAAAAATTATTAATGTTACCTTATTTCAAGGAAACAATCTAGAGATTGGAAATGAGACTTTGCACATAAAAAGTTTTCTTTTGATTTCATAAACATAATGGACTTACGTAAGTCAGCTTGGCAACAGCTGTAGCTTTAACTGAAATGTTCTCTTGCCGGAGTTCTTGCTTGATTTCTTCGATACATTGAGCGATATATTTTGCCTGAAAATTAAAAGTCCATTAAATCCCCAAAAAAGAGGTAGGTACCTAATGCTATGTATTAAGGTGAATCCAGGGTTCGATTAGGGATAATTCAAGATTAGAGATAGTGCCACCAGTCACCACTAAGAATTTTACTTTCCTTCGACGATTACTGAAATAATATTGTTCAAATAACAAAAAGCAGATCCACAAGATATAGATCATTTTTTGCTTGATTTTTAGAACCAAAAATATTAGCAATTAGAATTACTAGCATAGAGAAAGTACGGCTGAAACTTTCAGCTCAGCGGCGGCAGCCGAGCGTGCAACCAAATCCTTCATCTTCTGTCTCTCTCTCCCATTGCCGCAATGGGAATTACTTCCCGCTGTAGTTACGACTTTAATTTTGGAAATTCTGAGAAGATTTTTTTACTAGGTGTTCCTCAAGTATGTTGCTATATCTCCTGGACCCCCAAACTTGAATAAATATTGCCGTTTTTATTATTTTAGCAAATATTTACGGCTATTCTGAACAGCGTGACATGGTGGCCAAATTGTGAAGTTCGGAGCCTGGATTCACCTTCAGTAATCTGGAGATCCTGCCCTCATGATGACCACAGAGAAAAAATACTGATAAAAGTTGCATGCATCTCTTGCGTCTCCATTTAAGTAACTTAGGAGGTAAGCCAAGTGAAAAATAGTAGTTCTGTATCACTACAAGCATTAGTTGAAAGTAGCAAAAAAGGTAGATTCTTTCCGATCTATGTATGAGGATGTGTTCTGATTGGAGAGGCATTCCTCAATGCAATCTATCCCTTATTCTATGATGGGAAGGCAAGAAAGACCTATCTCTTGTGATTACTTAGATGTTCATGATTGAACTTCACAGGATTAACGAAAAGTAATGAAACCGTGTGACATGACACATCAACACAGCTAACCTAAAATTACAAGGAAGGTAAAGCAGAGCAGGCAGAACGTTTCTTCTAAGATAGAAGCAGAAAATAACAACTAAGAATTAAGGGGACCTGCAGATCATAATATGAAGATATACTTAATCAGGGCTTTGAGTTAGTTTTGTCTCCTTGTATTATAGGAATGAGTATAAGAAAAGGAACATTGCGCTGTACGCAGCTGAGGAGGTGTCACCTACCTCTCAATTACATTTAGAAATTATTGAGATAAAAAACGAGCGATCTCGACTCATGGTTCCCGTTTAAGATTGATAACAAGACCATGCGACTGAAGATATGTACTCACTTCATTGTCCTTGTTGTTGCGAACGCCCCGGACCAAGTCAGTCAGATTCTTATCAAACATCCTTTCCAGGTTACCTTTCACTTTCTTCAAAGCCATGGTAAATAGATTGGAGGGACAACGTTCCCTTCAGAGGATATTAGGTGCACACTAAGGTATTGAAAACCGATAAAAAGCTCCTAACACTTTTTCCATGGCACGAGCACAGCCCTAATACATGTTAGGCATCTACAAACATTGACTGGATAATCATGTATTAGATTCATAATAATACATTTTCCGTTACAAACTAGAGCATAAAAGAAAATCGGCTAATTAGGAGGAGGTATACAGAACATATTAGGAGGATCAAAGGTTCAGAAATGTCAAAAATGATTAGCTAACAGCTGGATATGCGGAGTAAACACTTTTTACTTTTTCCCTACCCACGGTGCAAGTATACAGGGTATGTGCGGCTTCGGCAAAGGGTTATAATTATGANAACCAAAGATATTATAACGGTTAGATATGCGGCTAGGGCGGGGTAACCTGGACCTGTTAGGGGGTACATGCGCCTGGCGGATAGGCAGCGTGTTTTACGAGGAGGCGAACTCTCCCATAAGAAATGCATTGGAGCGATGACAAAAAGCTGGTTTTAAACAAAAGAAGTGACTTTTTTCTCAAAAACTGTCAGTGCCAGGATAATATATAAGTTGGAAAATCCATCCGAAAAAAATTTTCACTTGCTTACGGCCGAAAAAGGTGAATTATACTACTTTGAAAGTTCAATTCTAGGTTATGTTTACTTTCTCGTAGAAGGCAGCATGAAATTTCGCTGGCGTGTGGCGAAGTCGAAGATATTTGGTCGAAGTGTTGAAAAACCTGTGAAAAACTGCTTAAAAGTTGAAGTTAGATCCTACAGATAAATAAAGAAGAATCATTCATTACTTTCAGTTCATAAGTGCGATTATTTCATTGTTGTTTTAAGGAGACTTCGCTTGCCAGTGCAGTTCAGTGCAGTGAAAGCATGGTTCTGTGTTCAGGCTCATTTCCGTGATTTTTACTGTTTTGCTGATGGTAAGTATGTATGTACGTTAAATATTATCAGATGAACACTGTACAATTGGCTTGTACACCTGTACAACAGGTGAATATTGATTGCTTTCATCTGAGAGAATGGAGCACTCATGTTGAATCGACTTGCTGTAATCGAACTACAACCTCAAATCATCAATCGTTAAATCCAGTTCATTTTCATAATCAGTCAGGTACACCTATGTGCAAAGTTCTGTACTTCAATGTATGAAAGACTGAAACATTTTCTACTATATTTGAATCATTGAGAATGACTGAAAAATCATCTCAGGAAGGAAGTGAATCTTATCAATTGCACTTTGAGAAAATCTTTTTGAGACGAATTAGGAATAAAAACAACACGATCATCATTTCCTTCAAAATTTTATCACATCTCCGTACACATGCTGATGCCTTAGGTAGTGTGGAGGTGTACTGGAGTAGGAGTACTGGAGGTGTGTTTTCATCCGGTGGCTAAAGCCCACTTTTCCTCAAATGCATCACATATCACAGAAACTGTAATGTAAGGGGAGATTAACAATTAATTTGTCACTAACCAATTTTTTATCCTTTCTCTCAGACATCATGCCATTGTGCATCGTGGACGGCTGCCCAAACAGGTCGTATAAGAAGTCAGCTCGCCAACTGGAGGTAGAAAAGGAGTTGGGGCGAACGATCTCTTTTCACAAGTATGTATGGCCATTAACTCTGAATGTGTTTGTAGAACTTGCAATGGTGAAATATGCCTTTATTATTGTATTTTCTAAAGGTAAATACACCAATATGTCCCCTGATACCACACCCATGTTACAGACCTTCAATAGAGAACGGACCTGAGACCCTAGAATATGAATATTATAGCCGTTCACACTCTTCGTCCCACAGTACGTATTTATGCAAGGTTGGTTCGTAAATACCTATTTTTCTGACTGTTGACAATTATTCTGCTTTTGAAAACTTATATCACAGCTAATTTTGATAATTTTTGGACAAAAATTTTGTGGTAAGCAGTAGGTACACCATCTGGACTGCTGTTTAGCGAAAAGAAATAGGAAAATCAGTGGACATTAATGTAAGGAGAGGATTGGCGTGAATGGCTGATCCATGCTGCACTTGAGTGCCGATATGAATTAGCATTATGGATAAGCAAAGCGCAAGTACTTTAATTTTGCATTCAATGTCCCTGTAACATTATCAGTTCCAATACAGCAACATTTATCTTGCAGTAAACCAGTGCCTCCAGGAAAAAACCCAATGGTTTATGAAACAGTGGGGCCAAAAACCAAATAAAGCGCAAAATTCCCTGAAGACTCTTTCAGTCTTTGCTGTCATGAAGTATTGTTATCTACAGCCACGATTTATTATTTAATTAACATCGACGATATTACAGTATGTTCTTGTTTCATCAGATTCCCTGCTGACGTGCATTTACGGAGCCTCTGGCTGAAAGCTATCAAGCAGCCCGAAATTGATCCAGATCGGAGCAAAATATGTTGCCAGCATTTTGTTCCTGATCAACTTGAGTGCAACCCTCAGTTTATACTTGTCAAACCAAATGCAGTTCCTAGCGTTTTCCCTGGCCTGCAACATCAGGTATGTCATGCATTTTACAATTTTGTGTTTTTGTAATGTCATACTCCTCAGCCTGAGAAATATAATTTTACAATACATCAAGTGGATCTGATCAAGTGTTATCCTGATTTTACTCGACAATTAAAATTTAGTGGCAGCATTGATTGCTATTGTATAAAGAAGTCATTTAGGTAGAGGTAAAATTTTGCATTTGAACCTTGATATTGCTATCAAACAGTGCCTCCATTCCTTGTCTGCCTTTTCCTCTCTGACAATGCCAAAAAAAAGTTCACCATTTTAAAGTACCTTCATTGCACAAAGAAATGCCCCCTTACTATTGCCAAACCCACAGATGATTCAACATGCCTTTATGTCCCGGTTGACGCCGATTGGTAGTTCAAAATAATGAGACTTTTAAGTTCAATTAATTCAATTTAATCTGACTAGAAAATGTTAAGATGTCAAGTACCTATTTTGAGATTTTTATTTTTTAAAAGTTTGAAATTATTCTAAAGTAAATAAAAAGTTTAGGTGACAGAAAAGAGTAATATGATATTTTTAAAGCATGCCATCTTTAAGTCTTCTTTTATTTTTCTTTTCTTTCTAGAGAGTAGTTGAGTACCTCCTATTATGAAATGTAACATATCTAACCACAAAATTTCAGCTTTTTCATCGTAAATTTTCCTTTCGTCAAATCTTTTACCTTTTTCCTCTTAATTTCTAACAAAATTTCATTCCCTCTAAGGTTCGATCTTCTGTGCGCCCAAGTAGAGAAGAAAAACAAGTGCAGAAAAGGACTAACCTCTTCCAAACCGGACTAGAAAAATTGAAAATTTTACAAAAAATTTCAAAATCCAAAATCCCAGTACGCCAAAGTGATTCTGAAACAGAACCTCTTTTGGGTGGTGCCTCGTCTCTCTCTTGTCCCACAATAAGTGAAGCCTCCGGTTCATCTTCCACAGTTGAAACTCAAGTTCCCACAGGAGAAGTTTTTACAAATTTCCGTATCCCAGATGCGTTCCCAACTTCTGGAACCTCTGCCCCTCCTCTTCTTAATCCTACAACTCCTCATAAAAGAAGAAAGGAATCAGAAGACATAGTGGATGATACGCCCAGAAAGAAAAAACTTCGTGCTCGCCTTGCGGAATGTCGTCAAAAATACCAGGAGGACATCCGAAAACTTAAGAATGAAATGGGACAGCAAATGAAAAACCTCAAGAAGAAGCTAACCAGGAAAATGAAAAAGGAAGCCAAGCTGAAAAATGTTATCAAATCTCTAAGAGGGAAGAATTTACTAAATGAAGAACAGCTTTCAGTTCTATCATCTCTCTCAGAGATGGAGACAGAACTTTTGAAACGACAAGCTGCTCACAAGAAAAAAGCAGGAGTGCCTAAAGAGTATGGTCTTCCTTTGAAAAAATTTGCCCTAACTCTGCATTATTACAGCCCCAAAGCATATCGCTATGTAAGAGACACATTCGACTCTGCCTTGCCCCACCCGCGAACGCTATACCAATGGTATCAACAAGTAAACGGCGCCCCTGGATTCACAGCTGAAGCATTTGAAATCCTTAAGAAAATGACCGAATCCGCAGGCAAACCCACGTATGCTGCTCTTTCTTTAGATGAAATGTCTATCAGGCGCCGGGTAGAGCTTGCTGGCGGTAAATATTACGGGTACGTAGATATGGGCACCGGAGTGGAAGGTGATGATAGAGAGGAAGCTAAAGCCGCTTTGGTATTCATGCTCGTCGGTTTAAATGGTACCTGGAAAATTCCGGTCGGCTACTTCCTCATAGCCAGCGTCAGTGGAGAACAAAAAGCAGGACTTGTCCGACAGTGCCTCCTATCATGTCATGACTCCTATGTCATCGTCAAAACTTTAACTACTGATGGTGTAAGTAGCAATAAGACCATGGCAGTAAAATTGGGTTGCTCTTTTACAAACGTAGATGAAGGCAAATTCTGGTTCCCTCACCCTGTCACAAGAGAGAAAATTTATTTTTTCTTTGATACATGCCATATGATAAAATTAATGAGAAATGTTTTGGCAAGAGATCTCAATCTGACCGATCCTGAGGGGAGAGAAATCAGTTGGCAGCCAATCGTAAAGTTAGTAGAGTTGCAAGAGCAAGAGAACTTCCACTTGGCCAACAAGCTGAGGAAAAAGCACATAGATTTCAAGAGCCAGATCATGAAAGTGAAGCTTGCGGCACAAGTTTTAAGCAACTCCGTTGCTGATGCGCTTGAATGTTGTGAAGATTTAGAAATACCTGGTTTTGAGAATGTTTCCGGTCTAATCAATTTCCTTCGTATCATCAATAATGTCTTTGATGTATCCAACTCCAGAAACTTCAAGCAAAAAGGTTACAAGAGGCCTCTGACTAAAAGCAATTTTGAGTCTACAAAAGACTTCTTGGAAGAGTCTGCCACTTATCTTGCCCATTTGAAACTTGATGGAAAGCTTCTAATCAAAACTGAGCTGCAAACAGGCGCTTTAGGGCTGATCATATTTTGCAAAAATATAATCTCCCTATTCATGGATCTATGTTCCGGGCTCATGAGTCCTATGGACTTTATTATAACCTATAAAATAAGTCAAGACCATATTGAGATTTTTTTCGGAATCCTTCGTCTTCGAGGCTTCTTGAACAATAACCCTTCCTCTAGAGAACTACAGTCAGCGTATAGAAAAACTCTCGTACACTCTGAAATCAAAGCGACTAACAATGGGAACTGTATTCCTCTGGACAATATTCCAATCCTTGGCTGCAGTCCTAATCCTGTAAAAGTTATCAATGCAACATCAGATCGGAATAGGTGTATTGAGGAAGAAGACGAGAAGGCTGTCAGAGAAATAATTGCTGAAGAAAAGAGCTTCAGAGGTAGGCTCAGGCATGACCAAAAGGTAGTTCAATCTGATTTCTGCAGAATCGTTTCAACTTATGTTGCAGGAGTGGTGACCCATCTAATCCTAAAAACACTCAAATGTGAGGAATGTGCAAAAGCTCTCAGAAGCAGTAAAACCGAAGAGTACACTAATCTTATTCGAATCAAAGACCGGGGAGGACTGATAACACCTCCTCCTGATGTTGTGAGACTGGTTGCAACTGCTGAGAGTTTCCTGCAGATGTCAATAAAAGAAAGAGTTAAAGAAGCTCCCAAGAAAAAAGCAAAGAAAGTAAGAGCTGATGAAGAAGAATTTCTTGATGTAGATGATATCGACCCGTTTGAATTTGACACAGATGATGTTAATGACAATGAAGATGGAACAGGAAAATCCCTCGTTTTCACTAGGACAGTTCCTCAGCTGGTTTCAAAAGTTATGAATTACTATTTTAATGATTGTCAAGCTTGCAAGCTGTTCCCCTGTCTCGATGATCATTTTTATGATACTGAGCCACTGTACGATCACAAGTTTTTGTTGATAAAAGCATTATGCTCAAAGTACTTGCGCATCAGAGTCCATTACATTTGTGAATCAATCAACAACAAAACTATCTCAAAAAGAATGCTTCGAAACAAACTCACTTTATTTCAGGGTAAGTAAGACGTTTCCATGAAGCAAGGCTACCTATTGTTAGCCATGTGTGATAGTTTGTGCTTCAGGATTGGCATGAGAAAAAAAAGAGGCACTCAAAGAATTACGATGTCTCTTTTTTGCAGTATCTTGCTGGCCTGGACCAGGCCCTTTGCAGTATTGTCCCAGTTCTGTCCAAAATTCAAATTCGGCTGCACTGTTGCTCTGTTGACCATTGATACTGTATCCTCCCCCCCCCCCTTTTTAAGTGGTTGAAAATAGGCTTATCCAATCATTGCGAAATAAAGCTAAAATCATTATTATCTATTAATGTTTCAGAATCTAAGGAGCTGCACACAGCAGTACAGTTTTATGTTGGGCCAGAAGGTTAGCATAAAACTACATGTTCGTGCCTTGTGGCAGGATCGTCCATACAGGTAATCATCTAAAAGCTTTGTGTGAGGTGCGTTCTTCTAATGTCATTTTGGGTAAATAGTCTTCTTGCACATTTTCACAATGGTTTTTCCCTTTCTTTGCATTTCTTTGCACGAAGTTCATTAAATATTTGCCATACCTCAGACCTAGGTAATGAGATCTATCTTGGTAGATCAGAGGTGTCCTGTTTTCCATGCAAGACCTACAGTTTTTTTGTCATCACAGCCAGTCCGTTTTTTGCGCTTTTTTATTCACACTTTACTTCCTTTAAATGCAGTTTAACGTTGTTGTGATCTTCAAGATATCCCTTCCCTTTATTAATAGCAGAAAAATGTCTATCTGTGTCACTGGGAGTCTCATACTCGTTTCATTTTGCTACATCAAGAGGATTGAAAGCCAGTGTCACTTCTTGCATGGAAGTAATAGAATTTCACCTATATTTCAAGATAACTCACTTCTTATGTAGTCTTGTTTAGTCAGCTGTTGCCATTTAATAAAAGAATGGAGCCAATCTATTGTTCAAACAAAACCTCATCAGCTTGTATCACACAACAATTCTTTCAGATCACCGATACTAGGTCCAGCCTAAATTTTTATTCACATAGTGCATGCATTTTCCGGATGATTTTTAAAATTTTTTGAATGATTTGATGCTGAACATATCAACGTTATTTCTGCTGTCGCTCACTCATGTTCCACTCATCTGGAAATCTTCTGCTTCTTCATTTCCTCACTATTCACAAAACTATCTGTATTTTTGCTGAGTATTGAACTTCTGCCTCTTGCCCATGCTGACCTTTTGTATGTGGATGAGTTTCTTTCAATGTTCATTCTCATGATTTTGAAACTTTTGGCTTTTGGAGTGAATTTTTTTAAATTTACTAACCGACTGATTTGATGGAAAACATCAACATTATTCCAGCTGTTGTTCACTTGAATTTTGCTGATCTCCTAATCTCACTCTTTCATTCCCCTTCTGCTCCCGTAATTGTCTGCATTTTTACTGAAGACTAAATTTCTGCTTCTTGCTTGCTGAGCCTCTGGAATTTTAAATTTTTTGATCAGTGCTCATTTTCCTAATTTTGGAACTCGACGCCTGATAGATTTATCCGACCATGCAAGGAGATTAATTCTGATCTCAGGAATATGTATTAATTATAATCCATACTCTAATCCATATTCTTTTTTTATTCCATATTTTTCAATAATGCTTGGTGTGAAGTAAGTTGCAGTTGCATTTTATGTCTTCACAACGAAAGTGATCAAAGAAATCTCTCACAGTTTACTTGGGACATACTCTGCAGAAAAAAGAAAGGAAATACTTGAGTAGTGATGAGTAATTTTAATTTTGCTTGGGATCGTTTGAATGCATGAAATTTTTCAATATTGGAGTATTTTACAACTTGCTGAATGCCAGATTTGTTTCCTAATTTACAAGATATATGTAAATATATTTGCTCCAGTGCTCCACGTATCTTCAAGTTACGTTAATTAAAATGATTCAAGAAGTCTAACTTCTGCTCATCGTTTACACGAACATGTTTTATGGTTTTGATCGAACTTTGCCTGGATTGTTTTCTTTTTTCCTCTCCTAATGAAGGTTTGTGAAACGTCTGTTTTGGTGACCTGGGTTTCTTTATTTGCAAACAGACTAACAGAATTCTCTATAACTTAAATCTTTGTTTTATGCGCTGAAAAAATTGTTTGACCTACACCAAAAAACTAATGTATATAATTGGTGCTAATTTGTCTTATCGCTTTCAATGAGTTCTTGCGCATTAGCAATTAGTCAGCTACTGAGGGTTGTATAAGTGTGTTTTTGAAACACTGTGAATTTCTACAATGGTTACTCAAACCATTATTTTTGTCTCCTTGTACTCACTTGTTTTTCTTTTTTCTTTCTGCCTTGTGCTTTTGTACATACTCCTGAGTTGCCTCCTCTCTCAAATTAAATGAGAATAATCTGAAATTATATTACTTTATCCTTTCATTTACTGCTTTGACTTTTCATTATTACAATTATTTGATTTAAAGTTCACCTTTCAAAGAGGAAAAATAGTGTAATTTAGACTTGAGCAAAATCATAAAATCTCTGAAAATGTTAAAATTTCAAAAAGGAATAAATAGTTATAATTGGAATCCGAGCAAAATTATAAAATCTCTGAAAATGTACGCTTTGTCATTGTCCTATATTCATTTCTCAACTCTTGCACTAGTTTGAACTGTACTTTGCCTCTCTTTACTTAACCACTTGCTTTTACTCCTAATTTATTTATGGTCATGATTGGCGTGCTATTTTGCTTGTGGTGTATTTTCTTCTTTCCCCATAATGTATTGCCTCTGAAACTGAAACATTTTTTTGGTGAGCAGGGATTTTTTATTTTGCTAACAGGTTAAAGGGAATTTTTCCTAATTTCATCCTTGTGTGATGCATCAAGCAATATGTTTTTTTCTTTTCCTGTTGTATCATTATATTTACTTTCTGATTAAAACAATACTTTTTCTCAAATCAAAAATTGTATTTATTCCTCCTTTGACATTTTTATAATTTATTTAATTAATATTATTTATTATTTACTTAATTCATTTCTGAATTTATTTAATTTCTGAAGAACAAAGCTTGGATCTCAGTAAAATGATCGTTGATTATACTTGCTTTACTTATATTCAGGTAACACTGAACCCATTTCCTACAACGTTTTCATTAAGATATTATTTTTCTCCTATTGAAATGCTGGTTAGGGTGTTAGAAAAAGGAGGGGGGAAAAGGCTGAAACTAAAAAAAAAAATTGAAAATTAAATAAATAGTGTAATTTATTAAAATAGAGTCCATTTAAGTGATAAATGTTCTTTTTCTCATTTTACATTGAAAAGTTAGGTGAAATCACGGTCCGTTTCGAAAAGTGCCAAATTCATAGTTTCAAGAACATTCCCAGTGCACCATTGAGGCACTGAAAATGTTCATATTTTTAGCAGAGGCACTGTCTTGGGATCTGAATAATACTCTGCTCCAATATTTACCATTCACCTGAAAATTTTGGTTGTATTCAAATTTTTTATGCTTGCTGAACGCC